TCAGTACAAATCGGCAATTTCATACTTTAACCCCTATTATTAAATATACAAGTGACATTCCAAGAAAAATAAAAGTATAATAAAACGGAACGTGGTTTTTCCTTTTATTAAATAGAAAACGGATGTTATAAACTCTTTTCTGTTTACACGCTCTGTTCTTCTATTCTAAGCCTATGGTCCATTCCTAGTTAATACTTTAAATCAACAAGATTAATCATTTAACTCGGGCTTTTCTTACCACGTTTATTACATATGTTTATAAACATTTATTCACAGCCTAAGTTATGTATAATTACGTTTTGACAACTTAGCGTATATAATTCACAATTAAAATGAATTATCAATTACCCTTTTTAAATAGTTGTTTCTTACGATACCGGATCGCGCTTGACGATATGCATGCAAATACTAACACAAATAAAAAAAATCAGCACAATTACGATTTCACACACACTTATTTCCAACATTAAAAAAAGCACTATATGTTCTTAACTTAAACAATCTAATATCAGAATAATGCACTGGACAATAGAGGTGAATTTTGTAGAATAATATTTAAAACAAGGGCAACGAGTACTAGAGCAACGAAATTAGCTCCACAGGCAGTATCTAGACTCTAATACTTTCAATGAAAATGTAAGTTCAATCAATCTTCGACCTCATACTGACTTTAGTCTTGATTACGAAAAGGAGTCACCATACTTATCGATATGGAATATAATGAAGGCGGTTAGAAGAAACTTTACGTCCTGAATGCTAAATCTGACTCTTCTACATGTATTCATACGGAAGGTGGCCAGTAATGATATTATTTAACCTCCTAAGACCCAGCAAACTACAATGGGAAACGCGCTAAATTTTCAATGTATATTAAAATGTACTAAATATAATTACATGTTTCTGGCCCAAGTATGTATACCGACAGTTTTGTATGCAAAACGTATTATTTTAGTCATCCTATGATCACTGATCATATAGAATTAATAACGCTACGTTTGAATGCGATATTTTCATTATACGTAATCATAGGAATGGTATTGTCTAGGTCTGAATCACATATTATGTACATTTTGATGTACACGGGGCCTTAGGAGAATAAAGGGATGCGGCTAGGTCAGGGATCAACCCATCCAGACATTGAGATCATTCCAAAACTTTCTGGGATTGAAGACTGATGTCATGCTTCCCAAACACATCAGGGGTCTTACTCTTAACTCTTATTACGATTCAGTTTACGATATAAAATGAATCGTTTTGAGACAGCGCTACGTAAAGTGTATGTATGTGACAAAATAAGTTTTTGAGATGTCACAAAAAAGCTATAACCCAGTTTTAGAATATTGAAATTGTTTAATGATATTTCATATATGCATCGTTAGGGTAGGTTCCGATAAGTCGAAAACGTTAACTAATTTTAACTGTTTTCAAAAGTGAATTTTGTGCTCTATTTCTTTCTATTTAAAACGGATATTTGACCATTTGTCACTTAGCCGTGTTTTGTTAGTGAACGGCAGTGTAATGTACATCACCATCCCGATTTTTTTTCGTTGTTATTAACCTATACTAAACTATAATAAGAGTTCATGGTAAGACCTCTGGACATTTCAATAAGCAATTGTCCAATTTCAAGCTGACCGAGAGCAAAGACTAGATTTAGTCAAGAAGCTGTTGAGATTCCTCTGGACCCCCTAAGGAAGATACCAGACTTATAAACACAGAGTCGGCTTGAGTTAGAAAAAGCTTTATGTCTGTGCTATAAGAGCGAACAGGATATCGCGCGGTTGGCTCCTGCTCGGACAGTCGATGCAAAACGCACGTGTTATTCCGCTCTTATTGCACGGACATAAGATTTATCTGACCGGCTTAATGTGATTCCATGTAGTGGCAATAAGTGGCGTGGCTCCCTAATCCAATATTACCCTTTAATGGGCAAACAATACGCACTCAAAGAAGATTCAAAAAACCAAGTCTCGAAAATGTTAGTTCTTTAAATTCAGGTTTTTGGCTCAACGTTATGATCGCAACAGATCAGCTGCTGATAGCAATGATGAAGGGCTGCTTGGGCACTGAATATGCCATATTAATAATAATAATAAAAAATATATAATAAAATAGTCTAAAATAATAAAAAAATACTTAATACATGTTATATAAGAATAAACCTTCAACATCAAACCTGTCACGTTCTACAGGGTTATTTGCAATTTAAAAAGACCTCTCTGTACACGAAATTCGTTTCATAAAAACAAACGAAACTCAAAATCTGCCGTCCGCTAACTAGAACGCGGCTAAATGACAAAATATTATTGTTTAATGATATTTCAGCTATAGATCGTTAGCGTTCCCACTATGTCGTCACGTTTTATTATCGTTGGACGACTGTCGTGTCTAACCTGTTCCCATATCACGACTATCTGTCGTGGACGATTTTTTTATCGTTGAACGACTGTCGTGACTAGCTGTTCCCACTAGATCGTGACGACAATAGGAGCTGCGCCAATTTGTCGTCACGTTTTTATCGTGACGTTTATTTATAGCTCGACGACAGTCGTTCTAGCTGTTCCCACTGTGACGACAGTTTGTCGTTGTAACGATAAAAAATCGTGAACGACAGTTAATCGTTAATATGTGAACAACTTCATTTAAATATACAAGCCACGACACTGTAAACTGCACGACAATCTGTCGTCACGACTTAGTGGGAACGCGTCCTTAGGGTAAGTTCCGATAAGTTGAACACGTTAACTAATTTTAACTGTTTTAAAAGAAAATTTTGTGCTCTATCTTTTTCTAGTTGAAACGGATATTTGACCATTTGTCACTTAGCCGCGTTTTATTTAGTGGACGGCAGAAATACAGGTATTTTGATGCTGTTTATGTATCCGTCGTCAGCATCGATTTTTCATTAACTTGGATATTTCCTTCTATTATCCATTAGTATATACTATACCCCATCTTTAGCTTCGTTCAGGAATAAGTTTTTGGCTATATCGGCGTACTCGTCGTACTTCTTCTTGCCGCTGACAATGTCAAAGCTCACATTGTACTTGCGCGTGAGATCGTTCAGGAACTCTTGCTTTATTTGAGCTAGGCAACTGGAAATAAACATTTCACTGTCAACATTACCGATCATTTTAATGTTGTAATTAAATTTCACCTCACGATTCACATAGAGTTTAATGTCAAATTGTTTTAATATTAAGTTTATTGAATATCACGATGTTACTACATTTGTTGTAAAATTCCTCCACTGGTTAGTTATAATTGTCCTAATGTTGTTTGTTCAACTCATCGAGTATATAACCAGAAATAGAGACGAAATGTCATTTAATTTGTTTGAAAACTATTCTGCCATATCATTATTGTGACAACTGCGCTCCGGTTGGCTAGTCCGAATTCGAAACAATTGACGGGCGTCAGCATTGAGTGTCGTCAATTGTTTCACTTCATATCGACCAGTTAACTTGAGCTTTGTTATAATGGACGGCAATTGCAAAATTATATATTTAATATTTAATTATCGATGAAATTTGATTCCATTTGTTTTGTAATTAGATGTTTTGCTGTTTTCCCCACACCACCGAAAGGAACAGCACGCCATTGTTAGAGATATTTTCTGTATTATAATACTTAACTGCCTCTGTGGCCGAACGGTTACCATGCCGGACTGCCACGCAGAGGTCCCAGGTTCGATTCCCGGGCCGGGAGAAATATTTGTATGGCCTACATTTATTTCTCTCGTGAGTTTGGGTGTAATTTGTGGTTGTGTATGTGTGTCCATAGCACCCGCGCTACAGGGCTTCCCTAGTGCGGGGCTATGTGAGTGTGTGCGTTATTATTATTATTATTATTATTATTATTACTTAGAGAATATTTTTGTAATATACGGAGACGTACACCCACAGGTCAGTTGTTGGCGCTGTCTATATTTCAGTGCAAACGAGAGTTGATATTTATAAGTGATGTATCACTGATGAGTTACCAGGAGTGTATGGCCCTTATTTCGTCTCTATTTCTGATTATATACTCGATGGTTCAGCTAAATCAGGACTTTTAACAAATTCGCATTAATAGCTTCGTTCACTTTGTTCTGACATTGACAGGTAGTATCACGGACTATTATAATTAAAGAGAACTGCTAATCTCCATACTATAGATTGTACCATGATTGTACCTCTGAAAAAGGTCAAAAACCTGTCTCACATTTTCGATGGTGTTGATCAATGGCCTGAAAGTAATTTGTTATATGTAAATGGCCGTGGACATAAATTAATTCCTCTTTAATATGAAACATACATTAATATTATCCAAATATTGACCATGATTAGCGACATCTCTAGCCGGGACTGGTACCTGTAAACGTATCTAATTGGGCGACGAAATACTTTCATAAATTTCTTATAGATGACGCTATGGCTAAAAAGTCGTTAAAAAACCAAATGCAAAGAAAGACAGGACAGCAAGCACATAGAAAAATCTGTTAGTTGTTATAGCATCTGCCACGGTATGCTAGAAGAAGTCGGTTCGAATCCGGCCGGATTAGTGTTGTAACTGGAATAAAAAACAATTTTTTTTCACATTTTTGAAAAAAAAAACACAGCGCCCTGGTTTTTTCTGAATTTGGTTTTTTTTCAGAAAAACTAAAATGGAATAACTGAAATAAAATAAGCCACTAACTTTTGTTTTAAAAATATTTATGTATATATGTATGTGAATATATATATATAAATCAATTACCATGATAATTAGAACAAAAATTTAATCTTCATTTGTGGTGTTACTAGTGTTACTACTGTTACAGGTGTTACCCACACTTGTAATATCATCGAAATGTTCTGTGTCTTCGCTTCCTTCATTCAAATCCTACCCAATAATTTTACATAAGCGGCTTGCTAATAATTCTACGTAAATGTTGCTATATAAGGGATATGTACGATCTGGAAAAAAACATCGATATCGCTCTTAAATAAATAAATAAGTAGTGTTTTTATCAGTAATCATTAAAGTAGCGATGCAACAGCAACCGATAAATTTAAAAAACAGGGTAAAATGTTAGAATCTCCGCATTTTCCCCACATAGCGTCAATCCCACAAAATACCCAATCGAGTTGAAAAACCCCGTAATTTGTGGAATTCGCCACAAATTGACAACACTATTGAGTGTTGCCCATTTATTTTGAGCAATTTATCTATGAAGAATAATATTAACAACAAAAGAGGAAATGTAGTCAAAAAAATACTATTGTCATATTTTTATTTTCATAGTTTTAGAAAAAAAAACGTACTCCAGAAAAAAAACGGTTTCTTTTCATGTTTTTATTCTCATTGTCTTTTTTTCACCTGAGAAAAAAAACAGTTTTTTAACAACACTAGGCCGGATTGAAGTATTTTTTTCTGGTGTTCGATCTTTGTATTCATTATTATAAGAAAGTAGTAGAATAATTTCACATAAAAAACAATTGAATATCAATTCAATAAAAACTTATATTGACAATGAATTTTTAAAAATCTGAATTTTGACAAATATGCGTGTCAAAAGATTCAAAACGTTTTAAATTTTTTAAATAGCAGTAGTGGTGGCTTGTGACACAAGTGTTTTCATACTTAAAAGAAGTTCACCAGCATTGATATATGTAACCTAGATTAAGTTAAGTCAATAATTTTGTTTTTTTTTTGAGAAAGTGTGCGTCCAGGAAAGTTGCCTATTTTTGCCGCCAAGCATTAATGCGTGTGAGCAATACAGCGTATCGGTTTTGGGACTTATCAACTTATGCCTCACAGTGACGCGCGCAGTGGCAGTGCTATGGACAGGTGTGTCACTTACTACCAGGCGCACCATTTGTTCGTCCCGTCACTTGGTATCATAAAAAAAAGATCTCATTGTATGTTACAAATTAATTTATAAATTAATGCTTGCTAGTACGGCTAGATGGCGCTAATTCTAAACAATTAAAAAGAATAGCTGCATGCAAATATACAAGTCTGTGCAATAAGCGCCATCTGGTGGACTTGTTTGTTATCACTAGAAATTAGAGTAGCTTTGATAAATTGTAGTTTGTCAATGTAAAACAAATTTTGGTTACAAAAACATAGCTATTTGGTACTCACCGCGACATCTGGTATAACAATAGGTACTAAATACCTGACTACGCTGTCTTATATCGCTATTAGCAGTCCACTTGAATTATTGGTCCATACTACCATGTAAAATTTGTAAACACTTACATGCGATAGTATTTGTTGGCACGGAACGCGACGATGCCGGCAGAGGGCGCATGCGTAGTGTGCACCACGAACGCGTCAGGCAGCACCACCGCCTTGAACCCCTGCGCGCGCAGCTCAACTATGTGCGACACCTAATGGCGAGAGGTAAACGTTAAATGGACAAGTTTGTGGTAATTATAACCTTTATATAATTGAGGCTATCGGCGCAAAAGTGGTTTACACCACTTTTTTTTTCTACAATATTACTTAAAATTATACTAAAGTATACAGACTAAAAAAGTATACATAGATAATGAAGTATTCATAAATATTTTAATTTTATAAATATTTTACGCTTAGACATGCTGCCGACCACATTGTGCTTAGACCAGTTTATTTTGCCTTATGCCAATCCATTATAGGATACTGCATCTCGTCATGGGGCGGTGCACCATGGGTACACCTACAACTCATGATTAAACTCGAGTGTGCTCAAAGGGCTGTTCTCAAATTTTCTTCTTTTCTATCTTTCTTGTTTCCGACCGACGAGCGCAATAAATTATAGAAGGTTCTTTCAGTACGTCAACTCTTTATTCTTTCAGTGATACTCAGAAAACACTCTCAACTTCCTCACGATCCTTCAATCATGGCTAAAAGACAAAGAAAAGGAACTGTATGCCCCTACAACCCATTCTACACTAGTTTGTATCGTACAGACGCTGGTTCGAATTCAGACTTTTCCCTTTGGTAGCCATAGACACCTTTGTGAAAGAGTTCGTCCAGGAAAGTACTGCCACCTTACCTATTTCTGCCGCCAAGCAGTAATGTGACCATTACTGTGTTCCGATTTTGAAAGGTAAGGGTGCTGGTGAAGTTACAGGCACATGGGACTTGTCAACTTATGTCTCAGGGTGACGGGCGCTGTGGCAGTGCCCCTCAGATCTTTGCGATTTAAAGCTCTGAGTTACACTGCAACTGTTATGGACAGGCGTGTCGCTTACCATCAGGTGCACGACTTGTTCCTCCCGTCACTTGATATCATAAAAATAGACGGATCAAAGGAATTTTTCTTTGTGCTTATTCGACCTTTGTATCAATAATAACATCTGTATTCGTTTTTAGGTTTTCGCAATTGCTATACATTGGAAATGATAAACTATTTTTTCGGATCTAAATATATCGGCCGTGACGTTAGTATGTGTAGTGTAGTAATGGTATGTGTATCTATTAACATATACCTTGTTCCAGCCGAACCCTGAGAAGCGTGTGTCATACAACGGCACCGTCCGGTGTACCACGAGGTACGGCTCGTAGTCCGGCTCCCAATCAACCTGCAATAATAAATTTTTTACTTCTCATGCTCTAAAAGTACTTCATATAGCCTTACGTAGCGGGAGTAAAGTGCATCCTTTATCAATAGATACTTTTTACTCCCTAGATAAATATATCTAGGGAGTAAAAAGTACCTAATTTTTTAATTTACTTCGAGTGAATAAAGTACAGCACGCTCGGTTTTAGTTCCGTGCCGCATAGACGGTGGCGCCATATTGTTTTCCCATTTTGTTGTATTTGTCTGGTTGAAAAAAAAAATACCGCGAAAACGTCAGAATTTTAGTTCCTAATTTTGTTGTAGAGCGAAAACGATTGTGAACTTATGGCTCAAGGTGATAGGCGCAGTGGCAGTGCTTCTCAGATCCTTGACATTTAAGATTTTATGGACATGCGTATCGATTAAAGATCATACGCACGACTTGATCGTCTCGTCACTTGATATTATAATATTATCTCTGACATTGAATAATAAATGTCAATTTCAGATATATTTTATTTGATTATTGACCATATTTAATTTTTATTTTACCTCGTAAGGTTTGGTGGCGTCTATCCATCGCGAGTAATTGGTGGCTCTGTGTCCTTTGGGCCATTCTTGCAGGCGGAAGGGCGCGACGTCGGCGTCACGGCCGCGGCCGGCACGCAACCGCGCCAGCAGCGCCATCTTCGTACGCGGTGGCGACGCGCGGTACCGAGCCGTCTCGAACGCCGGTACTACAAGGCACTGGAACGTCGATAATCATGTTGAAAGCCATGTACTTATCTTCGAAGCACATTTCTGAAACGTTTGTATTTGACAGTCCAACATTTTTATTATAAAGTAAATATATAATTATTTTTAGAGATCATATATCGGTATATCGATTAAATATATGGCATAATTTCCCACAGTGGTCCCTACTGGCCCCCCAGTGGGGGCTGAAGTGTCCAAGGGGGCAAGTGTCCTCGGAAGCAATTGGGCGGCGTTGATGTCTCCTTGTGAGTGTAGTGTTCTGTGGTTGATGTCGTCTAGGGATTGCTACCGCATTTGAAAAATAAAACCTGAATTATCCATATAAACTACACTACACGTATACACACTACACATATACACTACACGCGTACTTGTTATTAGAGACGGGCAACCGCCTGGATTTTAACCCAGCGCTTTGTTAAGGCCGGGTTAAAATCCATTAACGCCCGAAACAGAGAACAATGACTATTTACAACCAAATATTTGTAAATCGTATTTTGTTGAAATGTAAATGATATTATTACAAAATGTTTATTGCTTACTTACAATTTCGCTTTTCTGTTGAATTTATACAAAGACTCGTTATCATATACACTTGAATCGAATTTTATAAAAACCGAATCGTAACGTGTATCCCTAGTAGTAAGTGAGAATGAGTCCACAGGATTTTTAAGGTATTGTGTGAAGTTGTCTCCTTTTCGTCTTTTTAAAAAGATTTTTTATATCAAAATTTCTAATAAGTATGGACTTATACCAAATTCCGTATTAGCCGTTCCTACCCACGGTTTAGGGCCGAAAAAAAATTAAAACCCGCTTTTTGAGTAAGAATAAACTCGGGCGGGTTGATTGGGTTTTAACTCTCTACCCATCTTTGGCTATTATTGAAGAAATTGTAAGGAATCAACTCTATCATAACATATGTATTTAATATATTTATGTCTGTATATGAAAGCCCTTATAGTTCCTTGCAAGTTTATTAGTACTAAGTCTTGTCTCACTAACAGAAACAAAAACTTCAAATTATAATGAAAGTTTACATGAGGACATTGGATACTCTGCATGTAGTACTATTATCTAAAACTAACTTTGTACTACAAATTATATTTCGAATCGGTGATGACGTTTGTCTTAAAATTAAAAAGATTGCTGGTTCGTTCCGTGGCTTAGTTGGCACGTCTTCTAGCAAGAAGACGTCGGTTCAAATCCGGCCGGATCGAAAGAATTTTTTCTGAGTGTTTGATCTTTGTATTAATAATTATAACAAACTAGTGGTGTAATTTCACACAACAAATAATTGAATATAAATTCAATAAAAATTTTATTAAAAAGACAATTTCAAAATAGCATCTAAGCGAAAAAGTATCTTGTGTGTAAATATATCCAGTGGTTATAAGTGTGAGAAATGCAGGGATCGATATCTCGATAGTAAGTAGCAGTAGAGCTTGTAAAAGAGTTCGACCAGGGTAGAGCCACTTTGCCTATTTCTACCGCCAAATAGCAGTGTGAGCATTACTGCGTTCCGGTTTTAAAGAGTAAGGATACTGGTGAAATTACAAGCACATGGATTTTTCAACTTATGTCTTAGGGTGACGGATGCAGTGCCAGTGCCCTTTGATCGGCACTGCCATTGCTACGGACAGGCGTGACGCTTACCACTAGGCACACGACTTGTTCGTCTGTCGTCTTAGTATCATACAAAAAAGTAAAGTATGTCAGTAGCTCACCTTCTTCTGGGGATAAGGGTTGGTGAGCTTGATGGCCTGGCGTAGATGCTGGTAGATATCACCCATTGGTACGAAATCCACGTCCATGAGGAATACGTACGGAGTGTTCACGTGCTCCAGCGCCACGTTGCGCAGGTAGTTTACCGGGTAATGAGCCTGCATACACAATTTACATAATATACAATATACAGTGTGTATATTTGACCAAGGTGCAAACTTTTTGTCGTTGACATATCTTTATAATATCTTCGAAGTTATAGAGACAAGGTTATGGTAATATTACAGATTACTTAATAGCTACTACTTAGCAGATACATCACTCTCATATAAAATAAAAATATCTACGCTATAATAGCCAACTAAATCTAACGAATAACACCAGGCGCTCACTACGAGGAAAAAGGAACCTAAGCACACAGAGAGGTGAAAATAACGTCGCCCGCCCTGTGCAGTCGTGTCGAACCGAATGTTAGGGATGAACAAGGATTGTAATGTAAATGAAAGACTTGTGTTAACGCTTGCACTGTCGGCGATACATTCAGTGGTAGGCACTTATCGCGCAACCTCGAGTGAATAACGGATCCCTGGTTATATTTTGAATGTACCTATCTAAGATACTGGTAGCGCCATCTTCTGGAGCATTGCAAAACAATTATACATTGAAACTTTCGCGTTGACAGATAACAGTTTCCAAACTTTTTTGCCTTGTTGTTTCGCGTAGACCCCCTTTTTTTTTTTTTTTTTTGACGGGGGGGAAATCTTTATGGATACCCCTGAGCCCAGGGAGACTCAGGGGTTATGTGCGCGTAGACCCCCTGCCTTTATATTATTATTACTTTAATTGTGCTTTTAACTGCTAACACAGTATTACTCACTTTGATATGTGTGTGTATTAGTGAGAAACTTAGCAAAAAAAACGTTAAGTTTTATACAGTTACCTAACCATTTTATATGTTTTTCAATAACATTGTCGTTGTTAATAAACTAAATCTTGGCTGCTGCATTCATTATGCCAGCAGTTAAGAAGTGAAACTGAACGATACATGCAATACATAATATATTATGAACTAAGATTGTGATTGTGGACTAATCTTAAATAGAAAATAAACATATAAGTACCGAATCGTGCTTAAAAACCAGGTGATATCCGATGTTGCGTCGCATGCTAAGTGTTGAGGAGTATTCCTGGATGAAGACTTCCAGCTCCTTTAGTTCGCAGTCCGAAAGGTAGATAGCTGCACTTATGGGCCCTGCCAAATTTATACAGTTTCGTAAGTGATATTATTTTTTTTTATGTACGAAAATAGATATTTAACGTTTTTGCAATTAAATATTTGTCTTTTTTCAAAATGGATATTTAACAAATTTGCACATTTTGGACCGTTTTTTTTTCCAAATGGATATATATAATTATGCGTTTTGCAAACGCATAATTATATTTTTGCAAATAGGTATTAAACATTTTTGCAAGTGAATATTTAGCAATATTGCAAATGGATATCGAAAATTTTTATACATTTAATAATTTTGCAAATGGATGTTTAACGCTTTTGTAAGTGCATAAATATAACTTCCCAAATATCAAATTAATATTGTAATTTTTCAGTTGAATATTTAGATAGTGATAATAATAATAGCGCACACAACATAGCCCCGGACTAGTGAAACTTATATACGTAGACAGATATACACTTTATTGCTCACACACAAGAATAAAGACAGTACATAGACAGCTTAAAACTAATGTGGGCCTTATCGCTAAGAGCGATCTTTTCCAGACAACCTTTAACATATAGGAAAACTAATCAGAGCGGGATACGTAGTGTACCAATAGTAAAATTTGAATTGTGTAGATAAACAAAATTAATACGTTAAATTAAAACGTTCTATTTTATTAAATAATAATAACGATATAGTATACCTACATATATGCATTTTAGTATATATAAATATACCTAAATAAACTTATACTTACCAATTTAATGTTTTTGTAAACGAACATTTCACGTATTTCCAGATAAAATTTTTAATTTTTTAAAATTGACAAGTTACTGTTTGACTCTGAGTCGGTGGCACTAGTATTGACTTTTAACAAGAATATTCATACTTTTTCAAGAAAAAAATAGTTTCTACTACTTCGCAAAACGGCGAAATGTTTACGGCAGAACAGGATGCATGAAATCTTATTTTTCCACAGACCATACAGAGAGTCACAAAAAGCTGCAATACTACTTTGGGGTACGAAAGTGTGCATAAAATCAACATCACTTCAGCCGGCCGAAAGACCTCCACTGCTGCACATGCGCTTTCCTTAAAGATCCAACTTTCCCTTTCATAAGTTGAAGCAACTATTATTACACCTCTTTATTACATTGTTAACCTGTACAATATTAATAACTTACAACTCACCTTCCCAATACTTAACGAATCTTTCAAAGAAGTGTAGTCTGTCCATAGACAATTGCAGCACCAGCGTAACGTCAAAAGCATCTATTTGGTTATAGGCGTAGTCCATGTAGTATATATGCGTTCGAAGTTTCGCATGCGCCATCGCATGGAAACTGACGCACAGATTGGAACTGTTGTTTAACTGAAATCGTATATAATTTATTTTTTATTCATTTATTTACCACTTTCTATGTTCTTTAAACCGCTACACTCAAAACGGTCCATTTTATGGAAAGTGTTGTCTATAGACTTTTCGACCCCTCGTACGTAAAGTATCGTATGTCGAAATTGCCAAGTTTACAGGGCACGACACGTGACTTTAGCCGAATAAAACTGAGAAATCTCAGTTTTATTCGGCAAAGCACGTTACTCACGTTACAATTATTTGTATTAAACTTATTTTAATTATTAATACAAAGATCAAACACTTAGAAACAATTCTTTCGGTCGGTAGTAATAGTAGTATTCGATAATATAAGTAGGGAGATAGGAACCATGTAGACGAGGGAAAAAAAATCTCCATTCTCAAAAAGTCTTAGTTTGATACTCCACGAGTTTATGTGCATGGTAAAATTATCGATACTGTACCTCTCCTAACTATCTTTCCTTTTTTCTATTAATATAATGTTTTTATATCAAGGAGGAAGTTCATTAAAATATAATCAGTTCCGAGAAGTCTCGGGGTTTGTAGAAGGGAATATCCACGTTATACTTTAGCTAAATTAACTCTCTCAAATGCGATTACTGATAAGTGATTATTATTAAAAAAAATATTATTATTTATTAGTAACTCACAGACGTAGTGGCTATTTCTGGGGTGTAGCAGCGATGAAGCTTCTTCTTCAGAAGGTTGCCATCAATGTTCACATAAAAAAGGTGGCTGTTTCGAAAGAAATCTGCGTCTTTCACATCTACGGCGTACTTGCGAGGAGAATTCCAATGAATTATCTGATAAATACAGAATGTACATTACAAATCCCCCAAGGTAAAATTCATTTAAAATGTCTAAGTCTGATTACCTATTGACATACTGTAACAGATGTCACGTACAGGGTTATTTGTACAATACTATCAGCTTCGCAGGAATATATTACTAACATCATAAACAACTTGATTTAAGGAAATGAAACCGTAAAAATACGGATTTAAATCGCGTATATTTGTTTTTTCAGAGAAATCAGCAACGTTTCGAGCCTTTTACAGGTCCCATGGTCACAGTTGACTGAGTCAAGTGACCAAGTAAAGGGCTCGAAAAAACAAATATACGCGACTTAAATCCGGAAAAATAGTTTCATTTCCCATGTGTAACAATCGCGAACACCTAAGAACTTATTTTACTTTCGTACAAAATATAACTGTATATGGTGATAACTCTGTGCGGTAACAAAAGAAAGTGCTAGCGTAAAGGGTCGAAACACAAAACTGTTATGCGATGCATCGCAGAAATCTACGAGCTCGCAGAACGCATCGCAAGAATTTGCGAAGTGCTCCGCATCGCGCTTTCCTACGGTGTTAATCTTCTTTGTGTTTTTTTTTCCTATACTTTCTTATCAATAACAGCAGTGCAACACTCTTTTTACGATCCATGTCGCTACCTAGTTTAAAAAATATGTTCAGTACGTTTGAGGATCGTCGAAGGAATGGTTACCCGAACCGTGGCAGTGAGATGCCTTGCCGAACGAAATCGCATCGCAGCAATTCGCGTCGCAGTTTTGTGTTTCGACCCAAATACCAGTCCGATGCAAAACGCAGGAGCGGGATGGGAGTCGTCGGGAAGGACGCTTGTACGTTTGAACTGATTACCAAATAGAGATCTAAAAAGTGTCAGATAGTATGTACAACAAAAACTTAAAACTGTATTTTTGGTAAATATATTATGTTTTGTAAAAAGTCTTGGAACAAAAGTTGTTGTTTACGTTTGTAATGTAATCCTGCAAAGTAGTCGGTATTGTATGTACAAACAACCCTACATACAAAAAAATGGACAACAATGGAAGCTTGGCTGAGCAGATTCTTTAAAAGATATCAAAGAATAACATACACACTCATAGCCTCGCACTAGGGATAACTTGTATCGCGTACGCCATGGACACACCATAGACAACCACAAATTCCAGTCCAGCATGGTAACCGTTCGACGACAGAGGCTGACGACTGTAGATATTCTTATATATTTATAAGAACATATTCAGTGATTTTAGTTTTTTATTGAAGTTAAATATGAACTGGCACACAACTAAAGGTGGTGCGTACACATCAGGCCCTGCATGTACGTTGCGCGCGCGCTGCTCGCACACGGCACGCTCTCCTCACGTGTGCTGCATGGAATTAAATAAATGTTAATATATGTGGCGCGCGATCGGCACGCGAACAGATCGCACAACGTAATGCTCGTGTGCAGCTCGCGAGCCCAGAGGCCCAGATCTGTAAGCACTTTTTTATGTTTCAAGGTGACAGATGCAGTGGCAGTGCACCTCAGATCTTTGCGATTTGAACCTCTAAGTGGCACTGTAACTGTTTTGGACAGGCGTGTAGTTTACCACCAGGCACACGATTTGCTCGTCGTGTCACTTAATATTATAAAAAAAAACCCCTAACGTACCTTAACACTTCTCATATCCTGGCCGTAACAATTCTTGGCCAATGTCTGCGTAGACATCTGAACGTTATATTGACATCCTATATTATACACTATTTGGGGGTGGTTGTGTATTATCGCATTTATAACATCCTGGTCTCCAAGTGAGGTTTTTGTCAACTTCTTTATGTTAAAGTTGACGGCCTCTCGCCACAGCAGCGTCCAATTTGTGGTCGTGTGGATTTTGCGAAGATTCAAAAGCATCACGCCCGTATTGAAGCCGCGACCCAGCGCCGGCCATCGGTCTGCTTCGTAATACCAGTTGCTTTCGTTCTCTACTAAACCTAATAACTGTGAAAACAATAAATAAATTCAGATTTTTGAGTCGAATAGAAACAAACGAGAATGGACAGCCCCGTATCTTTCTACATTCGTTTTGGTTACGGTGATCCTCCTTACCGAACCTTACGGTACGAGGGCATACGAGGAGAACCTGTGCGTGCACAGGAACCTCCTAAGTTCAGGTTTTGACCCCACATCAACCAGTGTACAGGTTTGTCACAGACCGTTGTTATTAACTTCATGCGGTTTTCAAGCGCATAGGCACATGGGACTTGTCAAATTATGTCCCATGGGAATTCACGAGATTTTAACAACAATAAAGCTCCTTGTGAAAGAGATCGTCCAAGGAAGTACTGCCACTTTACCTATTTCTGCCGCCAAGCAGTAATGTTAGCTTGACTGCGTTCGGGTTTATAAAATGTGCTAGTGAAATTACAGGCACATGGGACTTGTCAATTTATGTCCCATGATGACGACCGCAGTGGCAGTGCCCCTCAGATGTTTCTGATTAAGCGGTTAAGTGACAAATGGTCAAATATCTGTTTTAAATAATAAAAGACAGAGCACAAAATTCTCTTTTAATAATCTCAGTACAGAGTACTAAAAAAACCGACCTCAAAAGTACGTGGGAATTACGTCTATTTGCTAAGTTTTATTGAAATATCCCCTAGTTCGCCACGATACAGGACTTGACACTGGAGATAATAATAATCGTTCTCACTACTCAAAGTATATTGAGAGAAAAACGCCTTGAATTGGAGAAATAGCAAAATCAACCATTAAAATAATTGCTCCTACATTAAAGTTAGGCGCTATTTATAAAAATGAATCTTCATGCGTGAACAGCCACCCTTAAAGGTGGGTGATTTTCTTCAAAATGAAATGGGACCACTATGGAAGTACCCCCTTTCCAACAAAAAAAGAATCATGAAAATCGGTTCACAAATACCGGAGTTATCGCGTAACATACATACAAAAAAAAGAAAAAAGAACATACAGTCGAATTGAGAACCTCCTCCTTTTTTGAAGTCGGTTAAAAACAGTTAAAATTGGTTATCGACCATTTATCACTTAACCGCGTTTTAGTTAGCGGCGCCAGATATGTAGATATTGACGCTCGCGTTTGTTTAAGAGTTATGCGAAGATTGGTCCCATAGTTATTATATTAACCTTTAATTATGAAAAGACCGAACAGCTTCTTATAACACCATGTTAGACTGTGTGGCGTGTATTTAAAAATATTCCTAATTGAGGTGTTGGAAGCTCATATATAATTGTAAATATGTTCATCTTCAAATATTTGTAACATTTTGTGTAACCTGCTGGGCAAGCACGACAGGGCGCGACTTGCGCGAGAGCGACATAACACGCGAGATATCGCAATTTTCTATGCGACAATACCTTGGACCTTGCGCAAATCGCGCACTGTCATGCTAGCCCATAAAAATAATAATAAACTTACTTGTTCATCAGTCATATTTTTAAACATACTCCATAGCTCAGCGACATCGCTCAAGAACGTTAGATCAGAATCCAGCACGATGACTTTCTCCAAAGATTTGGGTAAAACATCGGTGTAGAGGAGTTTAAAGAAAGAATAAACTCCAGAATAGTGACTGTTTGGTATCCACGCTACTTTCGGGAGCTCATATTGTGCATTGTAGCATGAATACTTGACTGAAATGCAATATTTTTTCAAGTTATTTTCGATCAAGCAATTATCGTTTAATACAAGTATCGTGAAGATTTTTGTGCTCAAAAATTACAGCATTAAAGTTTAGTCTTAATTGCATTCATAGAAACGAGTATAAGACAACGAAACAGAGTCACAAACTTTTGCTAAACATCGATTTTTTCAAATACTAATAAGTATCGTAGAAGCAATAAGACTCAAACTCAAAGAATATTTGTAATAGTTTTAACATTGTGTAGACTGTAACAAAAATTTCCAAAAACAAAAACTCACATTTCTCATAGATATTAAATTTTGGGGAGCAAAGGTACACTTTTGTTATATCAATATGAACGCTAACTATGGTCAAACTGTTTTCATATATACTGCATTAACGAAAGTCATTTCGAGTTCTTACATTTTCGCGATTGCGTCTTGTGGTGGATAAAAGCAACCAGCAACTAGATGCAAATATTCTATTTTCATACAACCTGCGGCAGTGTCCAACGGCCGAAACCGGCGACTCCGTCGATTTCATATAAATTGTATGAAAATTTATTTTTTTCTGCCGCCAAGCAGTAATGTGAGAGATTACTGTGTTTCGGTTTTGAAGGGTAAGGATGCCAGTGAAGCGGCGGTGCCCCTCAGATCTTTGCGATTTAAAGCTCTGAGTGGCACTGCAACTGTTATGGACAGGCATGTCGCTTACCATCAGGCGTACGACTTGTTCGTTAGTATCAAAATAAAGCAGCTAATTTTATTTTGATGTATCTACATATCTTGTACAGTGATGCGCAAAGGAACAAAGCATTTATTCCCAGTAATTCTATGTACTCAGTCCCACGTGGAACAATTGCAACCTTAACATGTCACATTTATTCCCTTAGTTCCTGCGCCTGAGTTGTCTCCTGTTTTCACACGCCTGTACCGCCTCTCACTTGAGACTGGTGTAGTTACCAGGTCGTGGAAGCTTGCAAACGTGCAATCTGTGCCAAAAAAGGGAAGTAGAGCTGACCCTGTCAACTATAGGCCTATCTCAGTTACTTCCATACTCTGCAAGACTATGGAACGCGTACTCAATAACCGTCTCCTATCGTACCTTCAAGACAACGACCTCCTCAGTGATCGCCAGTACGGATTCCGACGAGGGCGATCTACTGGGGATCTATAACTTGGACCTTTTCAAGGCGAGAGTGAATAGACATTATTTAGGTGTGAATGCTCTATCGTCACTTTCCATCAGGTCAGATGGAGGTCAAATGCGCACCTATATTTTATATATTAAAAAAAAGTTCCAATCGCGTCTAGTTGCCGGTTGCTTGTAACCAACACAGGGTACGTTTGTGTGGCGCTATACGGGTCCGCGCTTTTATTGGTCCCCCGGGACTGTAAAAGGTCAGCCGTGGCCAAGGGACATGTGAAGAGTTCGAAACATTGATTTGTTTGAAAAAAACAAATACACACGCTTTTAGATTTCAAAAACATAACAAAACAAACAACACAGTTCTTTTCACTCTTATTGTTTAGGACGTAAAGCTTATTTTAACCGGTTTAATGCGATTCCTCGTTAGTAACATTGGTTACTCCAAAACAGCCTTAGGAACAACAACACATACTAACCATCAGGTAAGTCCCAAGTATCAAAAAATTTGTTTAACATTTTCTCAGAGGCAAAGTCCACTATCAAATGGAAATGTAACGGATTTTGTCTATGATGCAGCAAGGACTTCAACATCGGCGTGATATGTCGAGTGCACTGGCCCATGCATACTAAAGACAAGTGGATAGTCTCACATAGTGCACCTTCGTCTCTACCCTGTAATAAAAATTTTTAAAATATATAAATAAGTTATTGAAAAGATACATTTAAAAGCCAGAAATTCATTAGTTAAACTTATGGATGTCTTGTAAGAGATATGAGCTTATATTATTAAAAAGAAAAAACCGATAAAATCAGTGCGGGGAATTATGTTTTAAAGAAATGAGTTTTTTTATAACACGCACATACTCAACATAGCCCCGCACTAAGGAAACCCTGTGTCGCGGGTACCATGGACACACACATAGTAGACAACCACAAACTACACCCAAACTCACGAGAGGAACAAATGTAGACCATACAAATATTTCTCCCGGCCCGGGAATCGAACCTGGGACCTCAGCGTGCCAGCCATGGTAACCGTTCGGCCACGGAGGCAGTTTTAGTGACCCTTCATAATGTTTCCCTGCACCGAAAAGCTCATGGTATACTTCAAAATTAAAGTTCGTGCATAAACTCCGAGAAACTAAGAGGTGCGAAACTGAGTTCGAACTCACACGGCCTCTGCTTGAAAGGCAGTAGGTCAAACCATGAGGCTACCACGGCTTTTTAACACGATAATACATTAAGACATAGTTTCCCAAAGTGGTCCCCATCGCTCCGCAGTGGGCGCTGAAGAGTCCTAGGGCGGCGGTAGGAGCATCAGACGCAATTGGCGGATGTTGATTACATCCAGTGGGTGCTACCGCATAAGAAAACATGAATTATCTAGTACCAGTAGAGCTCCTTGTGAAAGAGTTCGTCCAGGGAAGTACTGCCACCTTACCTATTTATGCCGCCAAGCAGTAATGTTTGCATTACTGTGTTCCGGTTTCGAAGGGCTGGTGAAATTACAGGCATATGAGACTTGTCAACTTATGTCTCAGGGTGACGGGCGCAGTGGCAGTGCCACTCAAATTTTTGCGATTTAAATAAAGTTCGCGATGCGATTTAAATGCAACTGTTAGGTGTGTACCATAAGGCGCACGACTTCTCCGACCCGTCACTTGATATTATAATCTATATAAACTACACTAAGTTCATAATATATATAATTTTTTTCCTTACTATCTTCTGCGTTATACTAATATATAAAAATACGTGTTTTTTTTTTGGTGGTGGGCGTTAAAATTTTGCCTAAGTGGGTGGCTGAGCCCAAAAATTTGGGAAGTTATTCATTAAACTTATACTAGCTTACCTGTGCGCGGTGTGTTAAAGAGTCAACTGATAGAACTCGTGGCATACTGTATGGTGACCTGTTCAGTTGGCTTCTGTTATGTGCATCAAGTACACTGATCCTCGAAAGCAGCCGCCAGTAACAGAGCGCAGACACCATTGTGAGCCATAGTCCTATTAGCACCCCTAACCAGGGTCTACGTAGAAAATATACCACCACATTGTGAATGCGAATTTTTGTGTACTATTTTTGGTACATTTATCTTATTGTACTCCTGTGCTACCTTTCTGTAAAAAAATAAAATGCAACATATGTTATAAACAGTTGTTCAAACTGACGCGAATTTCTATTCTTAATCCTTATATTTGTGGCAGTAAGCTTGCAAAGTTACAGACCTGGGCAAAAGCTCCACTTTCTAAAAACATTATCATCATTATTTTCACGAACAACAAACGCTCCTTACTGGTAAAAGAACTTATAACATCTCCAAATTATGTTACATCTCCTTGTACTTTGATTTCGTCATCAAAGCCTAAGACATGAGATAAATAAATCTTATAAAAAAAATTATGAATGGATGCGTAATACAACAAAATCTTGTACAAAATGTTATATTAAATATTTCCATCTGCTTAATTCGAATTTACTATTCAATTCCAACTTAGTCAAATGCAGCGAGTTCAGTGTTGTTGAAGTAATATCTCCAGTGGTTTCGAAAACTTTTAACTAACCAAACTATTTAATCTAACTTCGCGATTATATACATAATCAAAACAGATTAATGAAATTACTATAATCACAATCCCTTACTGCAGCGGGTAGCGGGACCTTTGACACTCACTACCTACCTACCTTACCTAGCTACTTACCTAGGTACCTTCTCTAGCTATGGACATCCGAATGATCAAGTCAAAATGGCGGGAACACAATTAAAATATAAGAAATAAAAATTAGTTTGTGAGGTCCGTTGGTTCGTTCCGTGGCTTAGTTCGCATCGCGTTTCGCACAGTTTGCTGGGAGACATTGGTTCGAATCCAAGTGGATCGAAGTGATTATTGTTTAATAATTAGATGAAATTGAGGAGTAATTTCACAAAAAACAATTGAATATCATGGTGGTGAAACATCCTGACATTCAATAAAACTTAATTACAGTATTAAAGTGACATCTCTAGTCAGCGGCTTGAGTGAAGACAATCTTTAATAGATTTCTCACGTAGCTACAGCAAAAAAATTCCAATTATATTAAATCCAATTGTATGTTACGCGATTATAGGTAATCGCGTAACGTAAAAATATTATAGGAATAGGATTCGTGAACTGATTTTGATGATTCTTTTTTGTTGGAAAGAAGGTACCTCAGTATTGGTTAAATTTCAATTTGAAGAAAATATTCCACCTCTAAGGGTGACAAACTAGGGGATGAATACGATTTCGCGCATTTTCCGGTAACCGATTTCAATAAAACTTGGCAAATAGATGTAATTCCACGAACTTTTGAGGTCTTTTTTTAATGAAAGAGTTATTATTTCTAAACTAATTTTTGTTGTAAAATAAAGGTATAATTAAAGATTGTCATATAATTATTTCTAGAAATTTTGTTTTTTGGGCCTAGTCAAAAGTTCACATTTAGTTGACGTTATGATATGAATTTAATATTAACATGTTAAGTACGTGGGACATACAAATGGTATTTATATATCCTCTGTGCATCTGGTGCACTTTGGGGAACAGTTGGCGGGTGCGCTGCGCCAATTGGCGATTGGCAAACATATCCCACACTTCAACAAAAAAAAAATAGCGGCTACTACTACTGATGCGGGTAGCGACAATAACATTTGGGCTACAATAATATAGTGTATTGGATATGATACGGGATGTTAAGAATGTTGATTAGTGGCAGAACCTATCATACAAAAAGTTACCAATTCACAGTTCACAAACTACTTACTTACATCATTGAAAAAAAAAATATCAGACTTGAGACATGCATGGCCCATAAATCACAAGTTCACACTATGAATGATTGTGGTGATTAAAAATTGTTTATGACCGAGCAACTGGCACAAACTGTAAAACTGCTGCACTTTTACACTTATTGGCAATAAATTATATAAAGCCCATATCTATGGTTCCACTGAGGAACTTATTTACACATCTTTCGCAAATTTCGGGTCAAACCTCCCTGAATACATAAACACACCATTAACACTCTCATCGACCGTTATAATTTGAAGTTGAATTAGCGTAGAATATATTTAATTTCAATATCCATTTGATTCTCAAATCGATTTATTAAAAATGACCCGAGTTATTAATCGATACTATTCGATTAGTAATACCATAAATGGAGGGACATTGGTGGGGTGGTCGAGTGAGCCGAAAACAGTTAATTTAAAAGCATTTCTTCAATGATGTACCGTTCTGGAATATCTAGATAAAAGGATTTATCCTGGAAAGTATATTTGATTCAATATTCCCGAAATTAGGATCTAAGCCACATTTCATAACGGGAAAACTTTTAATACGACGAAGACGGGTTGCGACTAAATTCTGCGTCGTTTGACAGACGTGATGGCACGTCGCAGCGATCTTCTCGGCAGAGATGAGAGGGAATAATGAAATATCAATGCAACAAAGGTGTCACAGTATTATTCTGTCGTGTTACCTGACCGCCAAGTAACAACGGTCGAGGTCGTGAGTCAATTGAAGATCTAAATAATCATATAACTTAAATAATAGTAGAGAACAACGTACACGGTACGTACAGCACGACAGCACTTCTTCTATTAAATTCTTTAATTGTGGTGTCGAGGGACATTGGGGAGTCTCAAATGTCCCAAGGCCCTTATGAAACGTAATAACTGCTTTAAACAAGGTCACAGTAAAATGACGTGTTCGGCGTTGTCCTGTAAAGAACTAAACAATAAGAATAATAGTGACACAGTTTTGAGAGTTCACTGAACTGAATTTGTTGACTCTAAAGAAAGACATGGTATGACAGTTTTGGTGAATGACACCCCTGCCATGACAATATCTCGGTAGTGAGTGTCAAAGTTCTGAAAAGATTAAATTTTGCTTTAATTAGGATGACCTGCCATTGATGAGGGGTTTGGGGAGGAATTGGTTCCAGCGATATAGAGAACTACGGCCACGATAGAATTACAAGGAGTTTGTGAAGCTATTGTGTTTTTTGTGTTCGAGAACAGCGTGCATAAGCATCCAGTCTTACTTGGGCACACTTTGAATGAACAGATGAACATTCTAATCAATAAAACTCCAATATGTCTAATATTCGAGCTTATTACAAGAGACTCTAAACTTTTGCTCACGACGGAACAAGATACTCGGGAAGCCGCTAGGGCAATAAAGCAATTTTAGTTATTACTAATAGCATGTATACGGGACAAGTTTTTATTAATGGTTCTGTTAGGGGACCTCTACAGCATCAATTTTATCTGTTGTGTGGAGACTACAGTTTTACTAAAGATCTTGCAAGCGTCTTCGTGCAGGTTTGTCAACTCAAGCAATGAATAGTTGGAGGCTCATCGATCGACGTCAATCAAATAACTACGAGTCGTGACAAAGACGCGTTAGTCACGGAGATAATGTGACTTTCAATCAATTAGATACAATTCGGATCCAGTTGTATACTGACCCTACCGCATGTCAAATTTGGAACAAATAAACGTTCCAGTGGTTCCAGGGATGGGTCAAGAGATGAATGATTCTAATGTCATTTGGGAGTCTACATACAGCACCGTAAACTAGTTCAAGCACTACCAGCAACCGAAAAACTGTACAGGAACATTATACGATACTACGCGTGGCGCCCAGTTGGTCCACTGGGCGCTCTCGCTAGTCATAAATATTTTATATTCTTAGGGTCGTATTCTAGAACTCTACTCAATGCTCAAATCAGGATTTGAGTATGGTTTAAAGCACTCGAAATCATACTCAAGTCCCTGCCATTACGGTCGTATTTCCAGTGCTTGAAATCATACTCAGATCCTGACTTGAGCATTGAGTAGAGTTCTGGAATACGACCCTTAGACTTTGCATCCAGATATTGTTAAATACCGATCTCGGAAAAATGAAAACACGGCATTTGTGACACCGGGCAGGCAATTTCGCATGCCTTTCGGTGTAGTCAATGCGTCATCCGTGTTTCAACGCACCATAAACAAAATTTTAGCTGAAGCAATAAATTACGTATGCAGCCATCTACACCTAATAGATGATATATTCTGATTCCAGCATATTACTTCGGAAAAGGACTATTGCGACTAAGAGAGGTTCTTGATTTGCTCAGAAAAGGAGGTCTAACTCTGAAGTAATGCAAATGCAATTTTTTTACAGTATTGATTTTTGGGATTCGAGCTAGGAGTAGACGGTATTCTCGAAGAACCACACTGCAATATTGCAATTCATGGGGCTTACTAGTTTTTTCAGAAGACATGTCAAGGATTTTCCTACTATTTCGAGGCTTTTGACGGATCTATTCCGAAACGATTTGTAATTGGAAATTAGCACGAGCAAGACTGCTTTCACTACTTTTAAAAACCGGCCAACAGAGCGTCCAGTGATGCTGATACAGAGCTACGTTCGCTTAACACGAAGTGCAATTGTATGGCTACAAGTATTCGTATATTTTATATGAAAACAACACGGTTAAAGCCGGATGTAAAAAGAAAAGAATGGTATGCAGTATCAGTTTCATAGACACAACATAAGCCGTCACGTCAGATTGCGACACACTAATATAAATCTAACCATATTAAATTTATGAAAACGATACCGTTCCGACGCGTCATGACGCGTCAGGCAAATGTAAATCCGGCTTTAAGCTAGCATTTGTGAATGAATAAAATGAAAGTTATTATTATTATTAAATTATTAGTTATTATTATTAAATATCGAGTTCTTGAGTTTTCGTGATTGTTACACATAGGAAATGAAACTATTTTTTCGGATTTAAATCGCATATATTTGTTTTTTCAAACAAAAGGTTTGTTAATAGTTTCATTTCCTATATTACTATTAAATTTTAGGCAAATTTAGTGGTAAAAAATATAAACGCCATATTATTATAATTTCGTAGCATAGCTTTATTTTCTATGACTTTATATTATTTAATGAATGGTCACAGCTAGCTTTTGCTAATGCATTTTCAAGCTATAAGTATCATACTG